GGGGGGCACAAAAACCATCCTGAGGGTTTAGGGACCCCCCATATGGATAAAGCAGGCGCTGACACACCGATGGCAGGGGGGGGCAGGGTCGGGAGAGGTGGATTTGGTGGTGAATCCACCAGGAAAGACCCAACGGAGGTGCTCTGGGAAGGTGCCTTGTCCCCAGCTCCCCCGTGGGGGGGTCTCTTCTGCAGAGGGGGGGGGTCCCCACCTCCAACCCCTTCCCACACGGCGTGGGGGCCAGCCCCTCTGCTCTGCTCCCCCCGCTGTGGTGCAGGGTATCTTGTTTCCCCCCCCTCCCTCCCATCTTCACGGAGCAAACAGTTGGGAAAAGCTGCCTTCGTGTCCCCTGGGGGGGGGACAGGACTGCAGCGCCTGCAGCCACAAGGCTGGGCCAACACCTGAGAGCGGAGAGAGGAAGAGGAGGAGGAATGGGGTGACGCAGCCAGGGGACGTGGCAGGAGCCCCCCAACCCTGCAGCCCCCTCAAAAAACCCAAGACACACCCCCCACACACACACAGGTCCCTCTCCTCTGCTGGAGGTGCCAAGAAAGAGCCCCTACGACCCCCCAGGACAAGGAGGGGGGGGCACAAGGCAGGTCAGACGATGGAGACCCCCAGCAAAGCATCCTCCTCCTCTGTGGGCCCTGTGACAAAGGCCTTGTGTGGGTGAGACATTGTCCCCCCACCCCCTGCCCTGGGGGGGGCCACGTCACCGGCAGCGCTGTGGGCAGCTGACCTCACCTTCGTCCCAGGCCGGGACGGCGCGTTGTCCCCCCCCCGCCGGCGCCGCTGCCGGCCCCCTGCCTCCCACTGCTGACCTTTTGCGGCGGCCACATCCGTCCCCACGACATCCCCAAGGCCACACCAGAGCCCTGGGCCTCTGGCAGAGGGAGAAGGGGGGGGTTAAGAGGATGTGCTGACCCCCCCAAAGCAGACCCCCCCCAAAAAAAACCCAACCCTGGCACCGAGGAAGGGTTTTAGCCCCAAATCGCCTTGCAGCCCCTCGGAGTCGCGGACTGGGAAGGCAGGGGATTGTCCCCCCACTCCTTGGGGACATCCTTGGGGTGCAGGGAGGGGATGTGTCGGGGCAAGGAGCAGACATGGGGCGCCTGTCCCCTCCTGCTGGGCAGGGGAGTGGGATCCCAGCTGTGGCCGTCCGTCTCCTTGGGCGAGGGCACCGTGCCATGTGCTCGGGAAGGAAACTCTGGATCTCCAGGGAACGGGCACTGGGAGACGGCCCCGAGCCCAGCGGGCACCCAGGGATGGCAGGGAAGATGACTGGGATGAGGGCCACCAACCCCAGGTGGTGTCACAGAGTCCCCCGAGGGCTGCCAGGTTCCCCAGGCCAGTCTCCTCCAGCCCCATCCCCGGTGGCTCGTCAGCGCTGGCGCGGGGCAGCCAGGGGAAGAGGGAGGGGTGCTTTGGGCTTTGGCCACCGCTGAGGTGTGTGTGTCACGACCGCAGCCAGCTGCGTCCTATCCACAGCCCCATAAAACGCCGAGCCCCGAGGCCAGAGCCCCTCTTGGGGACGTCGGCTCCAGAGGAGCCCGGCTGCTGTTCAAGAGCTGGAACGGACGCTCGCACACAATCCCATCCTCCTCCTCCTCCTGGGAGGAAGGGGCCGGTAGCCAGTTGCTCACCCCAGGGGCGGAGGGGAGGCAGATCCAGCCGACCCCGGAGGGCCAGACCCCAAACCCAGGCCAAGGCAGGGCTGGAAGCCCCCCCCCCGAGCACTCCGAATCCCAGCCACACACACGTGGCTTGGCCCGCAGAGCCACCCCACAAAGGTCAAAAGTTTGTGTTACCTGCAAAGGATGCGCTGCCGAGGGGTGTCGGGTCCGAAATCCCGGGCATGGGGCATTCAGAGACACGCTGAGCACCAGCAACACACCTGAGACGGAAGAGAGGAGGAGGAGGAGAGGCTGTGGCCACATCCTAGAGGACGGCAGCCGTGGGAGAGGGGTTCTGCACCCCCCCCTGCTTTCCCCGTCTCCCCCCGCCTCGGGTGCCAGCCCCGCTCCGCAGCCCTGAGTGCTGGGGGCCCCTCGGCTCTGGCTCTGCAGCCACCGAGCCCAGGAGGAGGGACTTGGGCAGCAGCGGGCGGGAGGCGGCTGAAGGACCCCGCTGTGAGCGCGAGCCGAGTTCCTCGCAGCCAGATCCTCTGGCCTCCCTCGAGGCCCAAACCCGAGAGCCAGTCGCTCCGGGCCGGCTGCCTGGGCAAGGAAACCGATTTGCTGAGCTCCCCCTTGCCTAGGGGGGAAACTCTTACCCTCTTCACTGCTTTCATACCCTCACCCGCCTCAGACACGGCACCGGCCTTTGAGGTACAAGCTTCCTGCTGGCGACCACAGCCCAGCCAGCAGGATGGAGAGACTGTTAGCTGCTGCCAACCCAGTCACAGTGTCCCCGCTTGCCCCTATGCCCTCAGGGGCCCCCCAAAAATCACAGGGCTCCCTCGTGTGGGGTGGCTGCAGCCCTTCCCAGCCCCACAGGTACGGCCCAGCAGGGTGGGCACCAGGGAGCACCCTGTGGAGGGGGCTGAGCTGAAGGGGAGGGTGAGCCCGAGGGAGGGCAGCTTTACCCTGGGAGGAGCCAGGCGTGAGGGGACGCTCACCAGGGAGAAGGGGGCGGCTGGAACCCCTGCAGGAGCCTCAGAGGGGCTGAGGGAAGCAGGCCGCAGTCCTGTGGAGAGCCATGGGGTGGGCTGGGCCTGCTGAAGCCATGAAGGATGGCGCAGGCCCCTCCGAGAGGCCCGGGGACCCTGGAGGATCCTTCTGGGGCCTGGAGCGGACTCCGAGGGCGGGCAGGCGGCCACAGAGCCCGGCCGACAGCCTGAAGACGGGTCGAGATGAGGCCTGAGGCCCGGCCGGGGAGCGGGACAGGGCCCGGGCAGCCATCTTGAAGGCCGCAGGACCCACCGCTCGGCCCGTCGAAGCCCCATTGGCTGAGCGGCCCGTCACTCCGCCCGCCTTGCGCCTCCGTCGCCCAATAGCGAGCCACGAAGGGGGCGGGCCTGCCCGCGCGCGCGCACCGCCGCCGGGCGGCGGGGCAACCGCCTCCCTCGCGTCACGTGAGGAGAGAACGGCCGTTAGACCAATCGGACGGCGGAGAGGGCGGGACGAAGGCCGGCTGCCGCCCAATGGGGAGGCGGGGGCGGGGCGGGCGTGGGAAGGGGGAAGGTGGCGGCGCGGCGCGGCCGTGGAGCGGACGGAACCACCGGGGGCTG